AATGAAGAGCCCAACAGCAGAAATCATTTCCAAGAGAATATTAACATGATGACATTCCATTAATGGCTCCTGATGCATGTTAAATTCCCTGAATAGCATATTATCCATGTATTGCATTCCGTTGTTTTCGAAATAAGTTTATCGGAAAATTCCAGGCCAATTTTGTCTCAGCGGCAGTTGCAAATGCTGAACAAACTCTAAAAAACAATAGTAAAATCTGGTAGTTAGGGCAAACTCTGTCAGTGAATGCAGTAAACAAACAAACAATTAGCAGCATACCCATTCTTTACTGGAAAGGCAGCACACGCGTTGATTAGATGGAAGTCCAGTCAGACTGTTGTGTCATTCTGGCCGAGTGGTCTAAGGCGCTGCGTTCAGGTCGCAGTCCTCTTCGGAGGGCGCAGGTTCGAATCCTGCGGATGACAGGACGTTTTGTTCTTTCAACTTATTGTATTTCTTTGTTCTCGAAGAGGATTGGTTCACCCGTTGCCTTACCATTATCATTAATTTTCAACACTAAGAAATCTTGCAATACAGGCACTCCATTATTTAAGGTAAGTGTCTAAAGAAAGCCACACCTATTATTTTATTTGTCATTTTTCTCATCACTTGAGGACCATCAAGCACTTGACTATCAGAAAATGAGCAACAAACCCTCTCTGGGATCGTTTAATGAGCAACGCTACTTGCTTGATATTAACAAATCCGACTTTCCAGTGCGTTCAGATGAAAACGCATTCTGTGGGAATTATCCAATTCTGAATACCAGTCGGCGACGATTCGGACATAGATCGATGCCGTCTTTGACCTTTTTGATATGAGATATTTTTCTGTTTATTGTGAACGCGGGTGTGCTACAATAGCAGGTATTGCTTCACCAAGTCGATGGATCCGGACCTTTCAGTTTGCTACCTGCTGCCATGTGGGGTTTCCTGTTGATTACTTCACCTTAGTTGGCAGCTAAGCAATGCAGCTGACGCTCACTTCTTGTTCGTGTAGTAATCGTCAGTATTAATAGATCAATCACTATTCTAGTGCATAATGTTTTCTGATAAGCTTTCATCTCTGTAGTGATTTTGTGGGGCAACTATATATGAGCAGAAGATTATGGACCATTTACGTAGCTGGGGTACATAGTTACCTTGCGGATATTGTATTCGACGGTAATCTCTTTTTAATCGCCTATACATTTCATTCTAATATACCACTAATCCCAACTGTTTGTGTATTACTAACGTTGGCGGGTGTTGAATCATTGGTTGCACTCTTATTGCTTGTAATGGTGACAAAAAATAAATAATTTCTCTGGAATCTATCAAGAAGCATCTTTTTCAACCGTCCTGAAGATGAGTGGACGGATTTCCATCTACACGGCAAGAGTCGGCTCAGTGAAGTACGCTGTAGGAAGTTGGTGGCAGGCAAACAATAGTCTAGGAAAGTGTAGTATATAAGGTTCACCAAACCGCTCAAAGTCGACCTTGCAGGAAAAAGTGTCCGAAGAATGAAGGGCCACGAGTGCTCGCATGATCCGAGTTCCATTCCGTCAAGGGAAAAGATATGCTAAGTCAAATTTTCTGCAATCTGGTCCATTCAATCACCCGTCTAGCTTCGGCTAGGACTCGTTCGATGGATCGATTGACAACAAGTCCGACCTATCGCAGCCGACCAGAAAAACTACCGTTGGCAAAAATCGACTGACGTGGGGTACCGTTCCCAAGGAACTCTATGCGGACCGTGACACCACCGGCATCACTGGAAAGTACCCCACATTTTAGAAAACCTAAGACGACCAACTACCCAAGGCCGCCCAATGCCATCCCCGCATCTGTGGCCTGCCTTCGATGTGAGCACCGTCCATTAGTGACGATACCACACCATCCAGCGCCACGCAAATCGGGTTGTGCGAATGTATCGCCAGAACAATGGTGTTATACACATGCGGTTCGCAGCCCAGTGCAATTGAAACCTAAAACTTAGTGCAGCCTGTCTGAGGAATGAGCTGGCATGAGCGCGTGACAAAAAAGTCCCGAGTGGGACTTGATGAGGGGACCGTGTCTTATTTTCGCTGACATGCTAGGTTATTCCCCAGACATATTTGCGGAGTTTTTAATATCTAATGTTCCGATTCATTATTCAATGCGAATGTGATTGCGACAAGACGATGTGTGCTCAATCTACCACTCTTGCCGCACAATGTTTCGTGCGCCATGTGTATGGCGTACTCTAAAGAGCTTGCTATAGAAACGCATGTTCCACAATCGAAACGGCTGCTGGCGGTGGCAGCTAGCCTTTTTTGAGGTTGCGCTTGAAAATGACATCTAGCAATATGGAGACCTCAGAATGGTTTAATTTTGGGGCGGAACGTTGCTGAACCTTGAATCTTCCAAGAAAGAGGGACGAGCGATCCTATCGCGGCTTGATGTAGTCGCTTCGCGTACTCCTTTCGGCGCGTTGCGCTGTAAATCACGTGTCAATTTCGATGCAATTGGCTAGTTCATGACTTTCGTAGGTAAGTAGGTGAGGCAAAACTGGGAGAGTGCAAATGTTGATTTCTCTGCTTGAACTTCAGGCGAGTTTGCTAAAATTCTTTATTGATGGCTTATGTTTCAGCGGGGTCTTCTTCTTCAGAGCCTGGAATAACCGAATCAATTTATTCGTCTTCTTCAGAGCCTGGAATAATCGAAGCAATTTATGACTACCAGACCAAACGCCTTAAATCCCCATTGAAGTTAAAGACCTCAAAGATCATCACTGATCGTAAGGACTCATCAAATCCGCATTATACCGAGGTTCAAAGACGGCCGTACATAGCAATTACTTGAGCGAGCAATTGTGACTTTGCTTTCTAGCATCACATTCTTCTCGTTCTTCATTCATGATCTTGAAAGCTCTTGTCTTCAGGTTTTCAACTTGCCGAATTTCGTAGTATTAACTATACTCTACTTGGGTATTCAACAACGATAGAATGGCGAGAAATCAGTGGTCATTAAGTTATTGCCACGGATTTCCTGAAATTCGATTAGAAAGAAATCGGTGTTCATGAGATTATTGACATCACACTTATGCTTTGTATTCCTCCCCCTTTCTTCCTTTTCAGTTTTTAATATGCTGACCCTGTTCATGTGTTTTTTCATGTTTTGATACGCATGAAAAGTATAGTTTGCTAGGGAAATCCTACTTCTGTGCTGGATATGTAAAATCTCATATACTACATGATCTGTACCAAAAAATCTCAGTGCATGGAAGTATAATAACATATTCGCGTGAATGAAGCATGAGGATTCCACTGTTGACAAAAAACTAATCACGAAAATTTCATTGAATATATCTGGAAATCACGAAAGCATTCATGCATAGAAAGACAATAATTCAGAAATCCCCCTATCCGATACTGTTGAGATAATGCCGATATATAGATAGAGAGATATCTAGTTGCACAATTCGCTGCTGACACTTTATCGTTTACCTCGAACTTGGGTAATTAAACCACAACACTAGCTTTACAACATTAGGAGTCAAAACAAGGCTGTATTTAAGGACTAGCCTCGACGTGATATCAGGGTTAATCTGTTAATCTTCTCGTAACGGTTCGTCGTATAACTCAATTAGTCAATACCTTGCCACCAACACGATAACACGATAGAATATGACCAGTTATTATACCGTGGAACGTTAACCTCAAACTTGGGTAATTAAAGCGCAAATAATATACATAAAAGCGACAAAACTAAGAGAGAATAGTTTGGAGAGCAACAAAAGCAATGTTAGTGCAGAGACTGGCGGCTGGCTTGATTCTGAGATCCCTCATATTGGGGAGTGACAGTCACACGAGCTCAGTCCATAGCCTGCTGCCAAGGCACTTCTGTATGGTGTTTTCACCGACATTCCGAAAAAGAGCACATCTGGACGGTCTTCTTCTTCTGATTGCATCGAGTCTATATAGCAGTCTGTAGATGCGGTCTTGGGCGTTATCGTGACGTCGCTGTAATAATTCCAGCTCGTCGTCAATACGTGCACTTCTTTCCGGAAGGGTACATAGCGCCGAATGGTGCTCGGTCTGGTTGCAATAAAAGCACCTCGTCTGACGTTTCCGCCATAGTTGGCCTCTGAAACAGGTGTAGTAGTGGCACGTAGGGCATAACTTTTCTCGATCAACGATTCCCCATCGTTCTTCCGTGGAAATGTACACTGTGTACGAGTCGGAATAGTGGTCCCCTCAATCCTCACTTCAACGTTGTCTTCGTCGTCGTTTCCTTGCTCTTCATGCCGAATCACATGTTCTCCTTCGGGGTCCTTTCTTTCTGCCGCATTCCTCGCCTCCGCGCCATCTTGGTTGTCATCTCCCGGTTCTTCAAGACTGGTTTCTGTGCTCCTCTTGTTACCCACCTGCGCGTCTTCGTCAACGGTGACGAGGTCGCCTTCTATCTGTGTACATTCTCACCCGATTCATGCCGCTGCTCCATGGGTTGGGCATCGAACCTGATCACTCCATCCCCGTCTTCCTGGTTATCGATCTGTTGTTCTGGTGACTGCGAATCTACTGAATGAGTAATATAGTCAGTGATGAGATCTCGCAGTGATCCAGCTCTGCCAGTGACTGGTCACGGAATTGGCGGTTCTCCTGACGACTCTCATGTTCGAGCGTCTCACCGTACTCTCGCGATTAGCGGCTTGATCCTTTAGTAATTCCAGTCTGTCGAGTATTGCTCGTTCCAGCAGGTGGGTTTTGACGAACAGTGGGTTGCCATCATCGTCCATTTCCGGTCTATTGATCAACATCCTTCATAGTTCCGGTTCTATCCTATGCGTAGAGATGAGCAAGTTTGGTAGAGCCCAGAGCGCGACGAGTTGTTATCGTTCAAGGAAAAGTTCGAGCTGACCCTTTCGACCATCTCTACTAATACCCGACATAAAGCGTAACGTTCCTGCAAGGGAACTCTTGCGGCCCGTAACGTGCGAATCGCCAATCCCAAGTTGTCGACCGATCTCGACGAAACCCAGAACTGACTACATGACGATTCTCGCGTAGAGATCTTCCGGTTCCGGAAGTGGAGGAAGGGCTCTGAGGATGACGTCGTAATCGTTTTGCAGGCGTTCCGTGTGTTGGCTTCCATAATCTGTGTCCGAGTTCAGAATCTAGCCGATGCGCCATTTAAGGACTAGCCTTCGCATGACATTCCAAGGAAGAGCACATCTGGACGATCTCCTTCTTCTGATTGCATAGAGCCTCATAGAGCCTTCTCTGTGTCAAAGAAAATTACAGCTGGTTTATGATGAGAGTCATGTCAGCTATATATATATGTATACATATAAAATACAATACTTTTATTAGTTACACTTTTCCTCTCAC